GATGTTTTCGCATGATTTTTAGTGTACAGACTCTTATTGGTCAGAAATCCACTAATGGGTGTGGTCGTACACATGTACGCCTATGTGCTGGGTATCTCTTCTCATATCGGCTATGTACTAGCCATCTCTTCTCACATACACCATCTTGGCGTACTCGCTACTAGTACAATGTTGCTAACTGTGCGGGTAACCTGTTTTTATTTTTGTTTTTACTCTTTTAATTCTAATATTAGACAGGAATATAAATTCCTAGCAAAACTAAGAATTTATATTCCTGTTTGATATTAGAATCACTATTTTATGCTCGTATGCGGAGATTTGCCATGTGCTGAGCACGGACGGGCAGGAGATCGCGAGGAACCCTGATGCACGGCAACAACACGCCAGTACAATTCATAGTCAGAAATTATGAAAGAACCAACAGAATTTCTGACTGTGAATTGTACTTGCGTGTTGTGCCTTTTCCCAAGCTTCCTCCCGAAATCCATCTAGGCCCGCACGATTGAAATTTCCTGTTGACAACCAGACTTATGAATTCTGGTTGTCAACAGCAAATTTTAATCGCGTGCTGGGCCTGCCCGACGACGACCTCCGCGCGATGCCACCTCGAAGACGGACATCTCCCTCAGCCGTAATCATACATTCATGACCTTGATTTATGAATTTTTGGCACAAATCATGGCCATGAATGAATGATTACGCGCTGTGCCCCACCACGCTCGAGGTTTGTGGACTACGTCCCCCGATTTTTCTATGATTTTTAAAAATTATTGTAATATAAGTTTTCTGTGATATTTTTCTAAATGTATCTATAGTTTTCTATTTATTTTCTATAGTTTTCTATTTGTTTTTTACGTTTTTATATATTTTCCACGTTTTTCTATTTGTTTTCTATATTTTTCTACGTTTTTCTATGGTTTTTCTATTTATTTTGTTTTTATTTTTGTATTTTTATTTAATCAAGATCCATGTCTACATGGGCGTGCCCAGCGACCGCTGCAACAAAGTCATCAGCGGACCGCGTAAGCTGGCGCACGGAAGCCATTCCCATGACCGCGCAACAAAAACAGCGATAAAAATCCCGCCGGTCGGGCTCGATGGCTCCGGCGGCGGTGTCCAGCGCACGCAGCTGCTGTAGACGCTGTCCGAGGAGCTCCAGCAGCTCCTCATACCGTCCTACTCCTGTGGCGGCGTCCCTCGTGTTCCGCGCGGTTTTGTGCGCACTAACCAGGACGCGGGTCCAATTTTCGCCCCGGAGGGCCAGGTCAACTTGAGCACCGGCGTACGGCTGCAGGATGACCTGGCCGTTATTCGACGGTGACGCGAAGGTCCGGTTTCCGGCCAAATAGGCCATACACCACCGGTACGCTTCGTTGGGATCTGTCCGGCAGTTCCGCTGCCGGGCGCCGGATGGCTGCCTCTCCTCAGTGGCCAATAGACCGGCCTCTTCCGCCGCGAGGCTACACTCGCGCTCACGCGCGCGGGCTTCCTGGGCGATGTTATGCCCAATTTCAGCGATGTCGGATTCAAGCCCGCGGCGGAGCTCGAAGTAGGCCTGCACGGCGGCGCTAACACGGGTTAGCTGGAGGAATACCCGAAGTTGCAAATATATATTTTTATTAATATATTATAGATTTCTATTTAAATTATTATATATTATCTATTACTTACTATTTATTCAATAAATTATGTTTTAATTAATTTATTTTTATTACCATACTACGACGCCCGGCAGCATTAAGCGCGAACAGATGTTGGTGGACCGGTCCGTAGTTGGTAGCATTGTGTAGACCGGCATCCCATAGCTGCTCCGCGGTCATGTGTGCGGTAAAAATAGTGCGGTCATCTGCCATTTTGAGCCGGAAGAGTACAAATAAAAAATATTAGAAATTTCAAGATCAGTACAGCGCAAACTAAATTTTTTTTCGTATCTGTCTTGACCTCGGGATATTTTGTGTTGCCAGGTGGTTTTATTATTATGTATGTACCGTGATTAGTATGCATGATGTATGTACAGATAGAGTACGTGTACAAAGTATGTATTCATAATAAGTACTGTATGTATATTTATGTACTACGTATGTACTGTGTATACTTTAATGATGTATATATTAAGTAGTGTACTGTATACTATGATATGTATACGTATGTAAAGTTAAATTAATACGTATGTACAGATGCTGTGTCTCGGAAGTGTGTACATGTATATATACCACCTGCCGGTTGACCTTTAACCTGTATATATGCGTGCACCTGGCGGGGATTAACCTTTGACCTCGGCCGTTGCAGACGATGCGACCGTTGGTCATTTTTTAATTTATTCTATTGTTCAAGCTCATTAAATATGTAAATCCCGGCTACTTCTAATGTACTGTCTACTGTGATCCAAGTTATTAATCCAAGTTATGGAATACAAGTTACGTAATCCAGGATTTGTAATCCAAGTTTGAGTGATCCAAATCCAAGTTTGAGCAATGCGAGTCCAAGTTTGAGTGTGTAATCCAAATCCGAATCTGAATCCAATTTCCAGCGTGGGCCTGCTTTATGGCTCGTAGGCTCCATTGGTTGCCACGATAAGCGATTTTAAGTTTTAGAAGTTCAAAACGAGCGGGCTATAGCTTGAAAGAAAGAGAAAAGATTTCTAAGGTTTTCGATGTACAGTAGGTTTGGAATTGAAGCCGATTAAATGTTTTGAAAATGTCTCGAAATGCATGCAGTTTGCACACAACGTTTGCACGTTTGCACGTAGTTGTTTGCACGTTCATTACTATGTATCGGTCTCGCGGTCTGAACCGACCGTTGCATTGACTTACCACGGAACATTCTGAGGCTATAAATTCAGAAAATTCTCAATTTTTGCAGAACGTTAGAACAACCATATGGGTTGGCTAAAAATTATTTCATGTGCCATGGCCAATGGGCGTGGCCAAAACAGAATTTAAAAGTTAATTCTACACTGTGCTGTAGCCTATGGACAGTGCACCGCATTATACCTTACAATTACATGACTAATATAAACCTTACTTACCTTTTACTTTTTGACTACTTTGTACAACTAGCTACAGAAAAATTCACGTTGATTGTTGGAGGGACAAAACCTTCGGCCGTGCATTTGTTGACCTGCAAAATTGAAAACGCTGCCCTGGGTCGCAGTTCAACAACAAATACTTTCAGAAAAGACCAATATCAGTTCTGCTGCACGCAGGGATGTCGTATAAAAATAAGCGCTGGCATGGAAAACGTTGTTCAGCGCCTTAATTAATTATGCGCAGTGTCACGAATGCGCATGCTTGGTAAGCAGTGTAAGGTACGAGGACGAGCTTAGTACATGTGATAGACAAAAAAACTAGCGAGAGAATCTGATAACCATTTGCGTGCTGTGCAACACTGTCAGCCACCTTAGGCTGGCGGTAGCCGCGCGCCGTCACACAGCCGTCAGCTGAACACGGCCTGCTATTTTCTGTAACGCACACTCGTATTAAAATTTAAATGCGAGTTTTGTTTTGGTTTTATAACATTGTTTATAATTGGTTCTCCGCAAAATTTCCAGTAACCAGTGACTTACATTAATTAACCAAGCTCTTGATAATAATGTTATAAAATTACCATCTAAATATAAAGATTCATCTGGCGAGATGCACTACGATGAGAATATCACCGACGTACGGCTACCTGCCAGTTTGTTTTCTGCACCTGCGATGGAGATTTCTTGCGCGAGTATCAGCGTTATTTCGGGCCTACCGTTGAGTGAGAATTGTGTGGAGGAACCTGCCAGCGACGTGCCTTTACCAGCAGCGTACGATGATTTTATGGCCTTGGCGCTGAAGGCTTGTAGAACGGGGAACCTGACAGATAGAAGAGATTGTGGCGTTCACAATCTCTAAAGCAGGTTTTCTTCCATCGGTTGCAGCAGACAAAGTGGCTGCAGATTGGCACCATAATTTCATGAGCGCTCATCCTCAGAGAAAGAGAAAACTTCAAGATTCTCGTCTGCGCGCCAAAGCAGGGACGGACAGTAAAGTAACGGACAGTAAAGTAATCGCAGAGCTCGAGCAACGGGAAGCAGAAAAACTGCTGCAGAAAAATAAGCGAAAAAGAAACACTCGTAGCGGACTTAGCGATGTGACAAATACTCCGACTTAAATTAAAAAATCTTTCAGAATTGGTAAAAAGTGAGTCCTCTGAAATTTCACATGTGGTTCTACAAAGTCAAAGTGTTACTGTAAGAAATAAAGTGTGCGGTATTACTGGGGTGATTATTTGTATTAAATGTGATGTGTTTACCAGCACTGACAAACCTGGGTGGTTGCCCGTGTTGCACTGGCCGGGCATGGTTATCAGATTCTCTCGCTAGTTGTTTTGTCTATCACATATACTAAGCTCGTCCTCGTATATGTCAATCTACCTGCTGACAATGTCATGTTGATACTGAAGTCCTGCCATAATATTCTGTTGCGGCGTTTACGAGGCGGTACCAAGTAAACCGTTCATTCCCACGATAACAATGAACTGTGAATCTTGTTTTCTGATCATTTCTCGTTTCTGATAATGGGATGAGTTCAGAAATAAAAGCAGTCCCAAGCGGGTAGGCTACGTAAGCGTACACACTAGCCTCGGAGCCCCGGGTGACGTTTCCAGATGGCATGCCATTCTGACCCTAGACAAAACTAAACGAATTTCGCTTTCTCGTGCTGCGAAATTACCATGGTATAACTCATAAGAAAGAGCAAAAAATTCTAAAGGTTCAGTGTAAACGTCCAAAGATATAAATGCGTGGTGTGATTGTAAAAAACGTTTCAAAAGCAAATTCGTTGACGAAAAAGGACACAGTAGTAGGGTGCAGACACTTGGGTCAGTTGTAAATGTCATTGCTGATTATGAAAAAATGGGACGTTTGAAGATGCATATTATTAAGCGCCGCCGCCAACAATTCCATGAACGAGGGAGGCCGTTCAACAGTGAAGTGAAATGTAACCTATTTTCATCGGCCTTGTTTTTCCTTACTTTCTAGCTTTCCAGCGAAGATACCAGTTTTTGAGAGCATGCTGATTAAACACTAATCCAAATAGAATAGGATCGGTCACCGCTTCCACAGCAAACAGGCATGTAGCCACGTTAAAGTAGTTCCGGTTCTTGAAGTCCATGAAACAAGCCACCAGCGTGGTGCCCATCACCGTCGCCCAGCAGACCACCATGCTGACCATCAGAACAACCAGTACCTGCATGCTTTTCTTCTGTGCCCTGGACGATTCCGCGCGAATATTCCCCGTTGTCCTTCCGCCGGTGATGTCACTCGCAATGTTTGTTGACTGCTTGGAAAGCTTCATCTGCAGTACCTTTCGATGACGCTGGCGTTTATGCCAGATTACTGGAAACGTCAGTAAAATTATCACTTCCGGAATGATATAGACAGTCAGTAATGTTGCTAAGCACAAAACTGGTTGCGCATCGGAATTCAGCATACAACGGCCGTATTTAGCAAACGGAATACGGAAAGAGACGGAATCGAGAATTGACTGCGGCATCACCGTGGCAAAGATGTACATCCACATGACGACACAAATCCCACCCGCTACGACCTTTGAGTGATGCATTTTGTAGTGATGCGGGAAGACGACAGCCCACAAACGATTGAAAGAGATTATCAGGTGGCTGTTGATCATCCCGGCCATGGCGAGGTAGCTGGTGAAGAGATAAAAGTCGCAAGCGGAATGGGTGCGGCATTGTGGGCAAACGGAGAATAGAACGTTAAATAATTTGGCGCAAGCGGTTTCGATAAAATTAGCAATCAGCAGGTTGATTAAGTAAATGGTGAATGGCGTGAAAAACGCGCGATGGGTGACGAACGTGATGAGCACCGCGGTGTTCAAGAAACCGCCGGTGATTGCGGTCAACATGTTGAAGATTTCCACGATTCCCCATTGCAAAGGAACGCTAGCAAAAGGAATTAATAAGGAACTGTTGTTCACCATTTTGAATGTACGATTGTAGTTCTTGATTTTATACTTTCTATAATTCCTCAAATATGCGCATAAACATCTGCGTTTGTGTCTGAACTGCAGAGAATTTATCAAATGCCGTAATATAACTGTAATGAACAGCAATCGCTCGAACACGCAATATCTTTTAAACATGCAGTGTTGAGTGTTGAGTATCTTACGCCAAACATGGCGAAGGCGGTGTGTAATTACTAATTAGCGAATAAGCATTTACGAATCCTCGCAAATTGTGGAATAACAGCACATTCTGGTAGTAATCGAAGTGAAGAGTGTATTCGGCTCATTTACGACCAGTGTCTTATAAATATAACCTGCGTTCAATATCCCTCCGTGACCTATAAAGCAGATAAACAATTACACAAATGGGATATGTGCATCTGGAAGGCACGCTTTATTTTGCGTGATACGCCCGTTGCCTTTGTTTTCGTTGCACTTTGAGCGTTTTTGTCATACTGTTTACACAGATTGTGTCATTGTACTGCATTAAAGAGTAATACGATAGAGTGCTACATTAAAGATGTAATGCGATAATAACGAAAGGATGGACGGTTTAAACAAAACGCTGCAAAATCCAGAATACCGTAATTATCGAATTTGTGGCCCTGGGGTAAAAATAGTTCGAACTCTATGGCGGAGGGGGGCTTATTTCGGGGAGGGGGCGCAATTTCGGGGGGTGGCATTATTTTTCGAACGGTATTTTTTGGGAAGGGGCATTATATTTCAAACAACTGCGCATCCAGTTCAAGCGAAATTAAGCGCAGTAGTTACCGGTATACGCAACAGCGCAACCTTCCCTGCAACATTTTCGAGCGTATACTGAGGTCCCTGTACACCTTTTTGCCAACAAATACCGCATTATGTGCGTTTAATGTTTGCTCATAAGCACAACAATTTTTAAAAAGCATTTGCGGTACACCAATCATTTCGCAGCGTTTGACATTTAATAACGGCCCCCTGGGGCGTAATTTCGGGGGGTGGCCTTATTTTTCAAACAGGGTCGGGGAGGGGGGCTTATTACAGGGGGGGCTCTTATTGCGGAGGGAGCCACAAATTCGATAATTACGGTATGTAGCTCATCAGGCACACGAGTGGGTGGGTCGCATGCAATTAAATCAAAGGATTCTGAGGACACAATAACCATTCCGTTTTAACGCTTACCACTTTGATCCAAGAAATGAAGTGTTTTTTCTCGATTTACGAGACACCGTTACCTGTAGCTTAAAGAACCGGATCGGACCTGGGCAGTTATAACCTAACTCTATAACTAAACGGGAGTCATTTGCGAGTTATCGGGTTTTAACGTAACTCCGAAGCTTAACTCGCTACCCAGGAAACTTAACTCTAACGTAACTCGCCTAAATTTTGTATGTATTGTCTATGGTACCGTAACTTGCGTTGAAACTCGAAACTCGGTTTTAGTTGCATGAATAGCGCAACTCGTAGCGTAACTCACAAGCTCCCTGTAACTCGTAACTCCAACGGTGGGTGCATTTCCATAACTGTCCAGGTCTGAACCGGATTAAGTACTCTAATCTACCCTAGTTATTGATCTGATTTTGTTAACTGCATTTCAGCGACGCTGCCCACTCTATGCTGGCTGAATAAAGTGTTAATTTATTGCAAAGACTACGAGTAGTTTTGTACACGATCTGTTGTCTAAATACTCGTTCTTGAGTATTACCAAATTTCTTCCGAAACTCAGTTTTGTTGTTTTGATTTCTTTATCCCACGGAGGTAGCCGATGTGCTGAAGATCGTTAATTACAAAACATTACAACATGCAGGTTAGTAGCAAACATTTGCAGATACCATAATTATGCCATTTAATGCGGGGTGTATTGACAAGCCAGCTGTTGACTATTGAAAAACAGAACTGCCACGTAACGCCTACATCATAGCCACCGAATCAGAAATGATCGCCCAAAACCAGTATTATATTCTGGTGGTAGCTCGTATTCGAAAGCTCGAATATTCATTTCTTTCAAATCCGCTCTTGCTTCAAACGCCAACGCGAGACAGTTCTACGTCCAACAAACGACAATATTACTGAAACCATTTTATCAAAATTTGTTATCGTGGTTTCTACAATTCGGCGATGTTGCCACGTAAAATAACAAAAGCGTTTTAAAACAGTAAAGGTCTGGTTTTGAAAATTTTAATTTATTTTCATTGCTCAAGTTATCATTGTTAGAAATGAAGCGAATATATACCACTGCCATTAACAGAAACGTTTGATCGAGCAGGTAACCCTAAGTATAAGACCGCTCGTCCACTGTCCGCTAACGGATCCTGCTGGCTTAGTGAGTGACCGAACTACCGTTGAAAGAGCCGGCTAGATCAGTGAGTGACCGAACTGATACTCGAGTGAAGTGAATGATACGCGGGTGTACTCTTGTAGATACTTCGATAAACCTCTTATCCCGGCACCCCTGTGACTTGTGTACTATATCCCGGCATCCGGGTAGTATGCACAACCACCCAGGTGCATACCTCCGTTATTAGTTAACACTTACAGTATTTTTCGAATTTTCAGACAGCTGTGGCTGTCTCACAGCAGCCACAGCTGTCTGAAAATTCGAAAAATAAGTGTAATATTTGGTTCTTATTGAATCAAAACAGTTAAGAACGGATGCAGAGGAGCGTTATCTGGCGGACTTTTTGTTACATTGTGCAGATACTTATCGGTATCCCGATGAATAAGCCGTGCCTGAAGAGGCTCGTCACTCGCAATGCCTTAGAAAAAGGTAAGCACATGTTCACTTGGTTTTATTGCATGTATGGGTGTTTGGCATGTATGGCTGTGTGGTTTTTAGGGATGACGGCTAAATTTAGTAACACCTGGATGACAGCATTTTTGAAAAGGTTCCCTGAATTGTCGCGCCGAGTTACTCATGGTGTTAACAGAAAGAAAGCAAGGGAGTGGACTGCTGCCAATTGTGAGGGCTGGGTGACGTTGCTCAGTGAGCTGCTCATCGACGGATGGATGGATGATCCTGCTGGCATCTGGAATCTGGACGAAAGTGGGTTTTCAACGGCGGAGGTGTTGATTTCGTTTTTGCTCAAAAAGGAACCAAAAATGTCCAGTCCATTATGATGGAAACGATAAAGAAGTGATTACCGTACTCGCTGGCGGCAATGCTGCAGGTACCATTCTGCAGGTGTTAAATATTCCAGTGACGCATTTTACCATTTATTTTACCGTTATTGTTATTCGTTAGCATAATTGGGTTTGGAATTCATAAAATATAAAGCTGAAAAAAATTCAGTTTAAGGGGAATTTTCATCTATCCGGTTGCCGGCATACAGTACACAGGTCACAGGGGTGCCGGGATAAGAGGTTTATCGAAGTACCGGTATTATGCGAAAAGAAAGAGATTTTGGGAATACAAACTCTCACAACCAATAAAACTCAGTGCTTTAATCCTTTTGCTCCGCCATAGTTTAGTAGTCAAACGAACTTCCATCCATCCGTCTGAAAGTACCATGAATTATCCACAACCTTTTTTGAATGCATGTGTTGCTTTATCGACCTTGTCCTATTTTTCGAAGTTTAAGTGTGATTGCGTTTTCCATTAACTGTTTTTTTTGTTATAAATTAATTTTCCGCGCTTCTGTAAAGAGCGCCGCAAACATGACCTTGCAGCTCCTAATTCTGTAGTTGTACTAGCAGTGCATTCCATTGTTCGTGACGCGTTCCACCGTGGCCTGCACTCTAACCGCATCAACCTGGAAGTAAACATACGAATCCGGCGACCAGACCGGATTGCCATCCGTATTGTAGATAACGATGTTACCGTCGTCCTGAACTTTCAGGTAACCGCCAGGTGTAAAGGTGCGCTGAAGTACAAGCATCCAAGTGAAAATACCCACACCACCGCAATACAAGTACTACTCCGCGGACAACGCACCCCTTTGTATGTGACCGGAGAATGCCAGGTCATTGCGTTGCGTTGATTGAAGAGCGCCAAATCGCCCTCCTGCCGCACTTCGGCTCGAACGATCTGCTGACTACCCGTCTGACTACTGCATACCCGTTGGAGCTCATATGAACAGTCAGATGGATGCTGCAGATCACTCTGATTGCGTTTTGGTAGAATGAATCTGCGATACAATCGCAGATCACCGTTGTTGTCCAGTATGAGCAGGGCTCGTCTGTTGGGGGAAAGAATGCTGTCGCCTCGGTTAAGTTTGGCTCCGGTTGACAGAATGCCGCTTGTATGCGTTACACCTATCAAAACACTAATGACCTTTTCAAGCTCACTTGTAATACTTAACACACTATTGCCTGATATGTCTATGTTATTCCCCAGGCAGCCTCTATGAGCCCGTACTGTGCAGTTGTGAAGCGAATAACTGTAGTGCAATATAACGCAAAAATTGACCTTAACGACCCAGCTCCACGCAAGAGGGTGTAGCAGTACAGCAGAATGTTTCAAATTCGAGAAAACTGATCTACCATACCACGTAAGCGCATTTCAGTAACTTCATGGACGAGGTATTTAGACTAGGAAATGGCAATTCTTACCACCCTTACTTTCACTATTGTCACCACCTTTCGCCATGTTTTGCTATTCCCACCAGCATTGTTATAATATTTCCTACAGCTCTTCTTACCTCTCTGCTTTAAGTTACAACGGAAAGTTTTGATATAGGCTTTTGATATTAAGCCTGTACCACGAGCTAGCCTGAAGGAAGCGAGGCAACCGCAGTACAGTTTAAAGTCTCTGCGTCGGACGTTGGGGCGCTGTTCTGTGGTGTCGTGGTGACTGCATCCTGCGTTGACACTACGCCAACCATGTTTTTTCGCTCCTCTGAAATTCACATAAATAATTATATTAGTCCTTTTTCGACATTTTTTTTATTTCGATCCAACGATCACAATATCCAACGGATGATCTATAGGTTACTTTGTGCAGAGTCTGAAGGCTGAGGGGGTGATGGTGGATCCACATTTCCCATAAATCCATGCATCGC